AAACTCCAGAAAAAGAACTAAACAAAATGGAGAGAAGTAATCTATCAGATGCAGAGTTCCAAACACTGGTTATGAGGATTTTCAAGGAACTTAATGAGGACCTCAGCAGCATAAAAAAGATCCAGTCAGAAATTAAGGATACACTATTGAAATAAAGAACAATGATTAGGGACACAACAGTAGAGTGGATGAAGCCGAGAATCAAATCAATGATTTGGAACATAGGGAAGCAAAAAACCAATCAGGACAACAAGAAGAAAAACAAATCCAAAATAATGAGGACAGTATAAGCAGCCTCTGGGACAACTTCAAGAGGTCCAACATTTGCATCACAGAGGTGCCAGAAGGAGAAGAAAAAGAGCAAGAATTTGAAAACCTATTTGAAAGAATAATGAAAGAAAACTTCCTAATTTGGGGAAGAAAATAGGCATGCAAGTCCAGGAAGCACTGAGAGTCACAGACAAGATGGATGCAAAGAGCCCCACTTTAAAGCACATCAGACACATCATAATTAAAATGCTAAAGGTTAAAGATAAAGAGGGAATCTTAAAAGCAGCAAGAGAAAAGCATTTAGTTACCTACAGGGGAGCTCCCATAATATTGTTAGCTTTTTTCTCAAAACTTTGCAGGCTGGGAGGGATTGGCAAGTAATATTCAAAGTCATGAAAAGCAGGGACTGACAACCAAGATTGCTCTACCCAGCAAAGATAACATTTAGAATTGAAGGGCAAATAAAGAGCTTCCCAGACAAGAAAAAACTAAAAGAGTTCATCATCACCAAACCATTATTCTATGAAATGTTCAAGGGATTTATGTAAGAAAAAGAAGATCAAAACCATAAACAATAAAATGGCAATAAATACATATTTATCAACAACTGAATCTAAAAAACAAACTAAGCAAACAAGAAGAACAGAGAAAGAATCATGGGTATGGAGAATGCTTTGATGGTTGCCAGATGGGAGGGGGGCCTGGGGGAATGGGTGAAGAGGTGAGGGGATTAAGAAATACAAATAGGTTGTTATAGAATAGCTATGGGGATGTAAAGTGCAGCACAGGAAATGGAGTAGCCAAAGAACTTATACATATGACCTGTGAACAATGGTGGGGGGATTCTCTGAGGGAATGGGGGTGCTGAGTGGAGAAGGACAGAGGGGGAAAAATCATGACAACTTTAATAGCATGATTAAAAAAGGACTCAAAAAATAAAATAAAATAGAGTATATACAGCATTAGCCTATTTTTATTTTTAAAAATAAGCTGTATATGCATGTATAAAAACGTGGCTATAAAGAATTGCTAACACACATTTTACTTCTGCAATTAAAAATATTTTAATATTAAGTGAGTCTGAGTGCTCATTATGAGTGAATATTTTTCCTTTTTTGCTTACCTGCACTTTCTAAATGCTTAACTTTCAACATTTGTTACTTTTGTTTCATTTTTATTTTTAGAATCTCTATGTATTTTAGAGTTTTCAAGTTCACATGGTTTTTTTCATAATCTTCTCTTGCTTTATAGATTTTATTCCTTTATTTCTTTGACCATTTTTATTTATTTTTAACTTTTTATTACAGAACATTTCAAATAGGTAAAAATCTAGAAAAATTATACAATGAACCCTCATATATTCATCACTGCTTCAACAGTTATCAAATAGACCTCCCACCAAATTATTTTGAAGGAAGTCCCAAGTCATATAATTTCATCCATAATAGTTCAGTATGTATCTTTAAAAAAGAAACTATAAACATAACCAAATGCAATTATCACACCTGAGTTTTTTTAAAAATAATTTCTTAATTATCAAATAGCTTTGAAAATTTGCCATATTGTTTTAAACTTTTTTGTTAGCTCTAAGTTAGCTCTAATTGTCCCTTGTGTGTAAATTTCCTACATTTGTTAGATATATGAATTGTTTTTCTCTTAGCACTGAATTTGCTCATGTGTTTATAGAATTTTTCTTTGTAATCGTCTTCAAAGAGAATTTTCTTCCAGGAGAGTCCTGGTAGGCCATAGGCAGTAGAGGCCCCCAGAAAGGTGGTTACTACAAAACATACATCCTCCTTACCCGAATCTAAAATATTTGAGAAGACACTGAATAGCAGGAGTCTAGAGTCTGTTATTTTTCATGGGAAAAAGAATGTATTCCTAGCCCATATTTAAAAACTCAATTTTCCCAAATATTACTACAACAATTTTAAAATCTATATAACAATATACAAAGAATTTCTATATATTAGAAAGAATATAAAACACTTATTACCTATTTATTTAACTCCAATGAACTTTATGGTAATTGTGTTCATGTGCAGTTCATAATAATAATGTTATCAGATAAGAGCTGTTATTTCTCTTCTATACTGCAAATAAACAATACAATGTAAATAGGACTTCTGCCTCCAACTGTGAAGGAACAAGAGGGTCCAGAATTACCCTCCTACTCTAGGGAAAAAAACCCCAGAAAACTAGACAACATATAGAAAACTGGCTTTGGACCCTAGACAACAGGTAAAGTAAAATTATGATCCCTGAGAGAGAGAGGAAACAAACAAGGTAAGCACTATCATCATGTTGAATCCAGCTCAGTGTTGTTGGAGGCAATTTCCAGAGTACAATGTAGGGAGGAGAGAGGCAGACTAACCAAAGATCACTCTAAGTTAAGGAAACAAGGATTGAACTTCTGGGACACACTGTTGGCTAGAATTTGCAGAGCAGAGCACCAGAGAGGGAGGAGCTACCCCCTAGAAAGGTCCTAAAAAGTTCTAAAAGTTCAAAAAAGCCTTTGTCCGAATATGAAGTTGCATACACACACACACGCATACACACAGTAAAGATTCACAAAGTCAAAAAAAAATTTCAAGGAAAGAGCAATTACCAAGAACTATCACTAAAAAAGTTCATAACTCTAACACAGGGCTGGGAATCTATTGAGTTCCCATCAGCTGGAGTGGAGTACAGAAATCTTGTTTAATACACAGGGCATTCACTGGAGATTCCAGAAGGATGGCATTCCTAAGTAGTGGGACAAAACTAGTCCTAAAGTAAAGGTTACTCTAGAACTACCCTATAAAGCTTAAAAATAAGCCTGAGAGAGGGAACTCTTTTATAAGTAACTTAACTAACTGATAAAACATAGTCCAACACTGTTTAAAGGGTTAACACAAAATCTAGCACTCAAAAAATAAAATCTACAATGTCAACCAACCATCTGATCAAAAATTAGACACATGAGGGGGCAGACAGGGTTGGGGTAAGCAACAGGAAAAAGGTGGGATAACTGCAACTGAACAACAATAAAAAAAAATTTTTTAGAGAAAAAAAATTAGATACATGAGTACGCAGAAAAATGCGGCCCAAAGACAGAAGAAAACTAAAAAAACAGAAACAGACCCAGAAATTACAGAGATAATAGAGTCTGCAGATCAAAATGCTAAAATAGCTATTTTAAATATGCTGAATATGTTCAAGGACTTAAAGAAAAACATGAAGATAATGAATAAAATAATAGGAGGTATATAAAAAGAACCAAATGAAACATGTAGAGATGAAAACTACAATAACTAAAATGAAAATCTCATTAGATGTGATTAACAGCAGGTTAGATAATGTAGAAAAAAATATCAGTTAACTTCGGGACACAAGAGTAGAATTTATCCTTAGTAAATGTAGAAACTACAACCTTTCATCTGAATGTCCGTGAAATTTTCAATGGCAGTTACATACAGATTTGTTAGCGCATGTTTACTATTTGGATGGAAAGTCTGAGTAAAAATTCTAAATATTTATCATATCAAATATTCTCACAGTGGTTGTAGAGATACAGGTATGTTGGGATCCTATGTGGTTTACTGGTTCCAAATCATTGTTTGTTTCTCAGAATAGCACAGGTAGCCCCAGCTGTGCCTACAAAATATATGTAACTCAGAGGTCAATCTCTCACAAGTGACTAATGGACCCAAAGCCTGAGACAGCAGACAATCCAATTCCAGGCTGGAACTCTGGGCAGGGAGCACAGTACCATTTTTCATAGTGTAATTTTGGTAAGTAGTCCAGTTCCTGCTCCCCAAATGGGTATTTCTCCTAGACACCTACATTCTCATAAATGCTAAAATTAGCCTCTGAAGCTTATATCTGGTCCAGAATCACTCCCCTCAACCCACTCAGACACAGAAAGAAAAAGGGCTGCATGGGAAGAAGACATCTCAAACCTGCTAACACTATGGGTTCTCTCCTCATATTTGCAATCCAGTGATTTCTTCTTATGTTCGAACTTAGCTATATATGTCTTTAATGTTTAAATATTTTATTCAGCATTTCTAGAGTTTTGGAGTGGAAAGTGGAAATTCTTAATCTGCTCAGTTTGTCTTTTTGAACTGTTCCAGATATAACTCTTGTAATAAAAATATAACCAATAACTGTACTATCAAAGACAAATAAGAGAAGCAACAGCTATAGTCCAAGATCTCTCTTTTCATGTTCCAATGAACTTTGAGAAGAAAAGTAATCCCAATTTGGATTTAAGAACATTAGTAAGAACTTGAAAAAGGTTCTAAGAATTATGAATTTGAACTTGTTCTTGAAAAGAGAATCATTACCTTCTCATAATTATACAGCACTTTAGTCACCTTAAAAAACAGCTTACAGCCCTGGCTGGTGTGGCTCAGTGGACTGAGTGCCAGCCTGCGAACCAAAGCGTCATCACTTCAATTCCCAGTCGGGACACCTGCGTGGGTTGTGGGTCCAGTCCCCAGTAGGTGGTGCACAAGGGGCAACCATATACTGATGTTTCTCTTCCCTCTCTCCCTTCCTTCCCCTTTCTCTAAAAATAAATGAATAAAATCTTTTAAAAAATAGTTTACAATATCACAATGTTTTTAATTTAAATAAAACTATATCTTTACTAAGAATCATCCCTCGAAAACATTTTTATCATCTCCATATTATATCTACACAAAATATAATTTTTCATTTTGATATTATTTAAATGATGAAATTACCTTTGTGTTTATTTAGAAGTTTGTAGCCTTCACAGTATCTGCCTGGTGAAATCATCATCTTGGCTGTGTCAATATAGGAGTATGTTGCCGCAAAATCAAACTCCTTTTTACCATTCCACCAACCTTTCTGTTTAGCATAGTTTCTCATGTCTGGGTGTTCCCGATCAATCTTGGTTGTTATTGAAAGCTGATTAGAAATATTACGAACTCCCTCTGTTTTCAAAGATGAGGTAAAGGGAGAAGAAAAGTGATATTTAACATAATGTAGCTACCTGTACATTATGATTCTTAATCACAATTTAAATGTAAATATAGACTTCTAAATTGTGTATCATATACATCTATTACATATTCAAAAATATAAATGAATTGCTTTTTAAATTAAACTTTTTTATTTTGAGATATAGATTCACATGTAGTTGTAAGAAGTAATGGAGAGATCTTGTGTATGCTTTACCCAGTTCCCTCCAATGGTAACACTTTGTATATTATCACGAACAAAATACTGGTATTGATATAGTCAAGATGCAGGATATTTTTATCACCACAAGGATCACTCACGTTGCTCTCTTATACCTACACTCACTTATCTTCCACCCCAGTTCCTTATTAAACTCAGGCAACCACTAATCTGTTATCCATTTCTACAACTGTCACTTAAAAACGTTACGTAAATAGAATCATATCGTATATAACCTTTTGGCTTCTTCATTCAGTATAATTCTCTAAAGATTCATTCAGGTTATTACATGTATCAACAGTTCATTCCTTTTCATTGCTAAGTAATATTCTATAACATGTATGTATGATAGTTTGTTTAGCCATTCACAAGTTAAAGGACATCTCAATTGCTTCCAGTTTGGGGTTGTCATGGAAAAAGCTGCTATAAATATTTATGTATAGATTCTGGTGTGAATGTAAGTTTTTTTTTCCTCTGGGACAAATGCACAATATTGCAATTGCTAGATTTTATGATAGCTGCATGTTTAGTTTTTGAAAAAACTGCCGAACTGTTATCCAGAGTAGCTGTCCATTGTTACTAGCAATGTATCAGTGATCCAGTCTCCACATTCTTACAAGCACTTGGTATGTCATTTTTTATCTTAACTATTCTGATAGAAGTATAGTGATATCTCACTGTGATTTTCATTAGGGAAAGTTTGCTTTCCCTAATGGTTAATGATGTTGATCCCTCACTTTGCAGAATGACACCCAAACAACTGAGCCACACCAGTCAGAGCTGGGCCTTTTTCAAAAGAACACATTTATTCATTTCTCTCTTGCATGTAGCACATTTAATAAAATAAAAAGTGCTTAATGATAAATCATGGCAATTATCACAGTAAGAAAAAGAGTCTAAGTTCAATTAAATGTATTTTTTACTATTTTATTAGTAAACATACATGCAAAAATATAAAACGCCCATCAAAAAAACTGGCAACGTATGGGAAAAATAACATCCAAATCCTCCAAACCTCCAGGCTACCTTCATGAAGGCTTTCTAAACTTCTCTGGCTCACAGTGACTTTGAATTCTCCAAATGTTTACAACATCTATGCATCTGTATTATTTATGCATCATTTAATATTTTCACATGTATATGTTATCTCCCTTGTAATACCATGAGATCCAGGAGGCATGTACACAAGAAGTATGTGATCATGCTTGAGCATAAGACTGTACTCTAGTGAAAGAACATTGAACTGAGACTCAAGATGAAAAGATTTAAATTCTAAGTCTTTCACTCACTCCTTCAGAAATTCACTTCACATATATGGATTTTCTCACTTGAAAAATAAGAGGAATATATGATCATAGAGAAACTGTGGAAAACAAAGCAAAGTATTCTAAAACAATCAAACTGTGTTATTTTACTATGATACAATTATCCATTTTTTATGCTTTACTATTGTATCAATATACTGTTTCCAACCACTAACCCCACAGACATTCATATCCACCAAACACCACTCCCCTTTCTTACTGCCATCCCCACACATGATGAAATTTTGCAGTTCAGTCTAAAGTTCAAGAGAAAGAAATGGTAAGGAATTATTAAAAAATGGGAAAGCACTATAAAACAGCCAAGAGGTACTGTACAGAAAATATAAACAGGTTTTTAAAATTTATATTAGAGATATGAAAAAGAGATAATGCGTCCTCTTCAAGAAAGCTCTTTATAGTGCTCTCATTGTATATTCTTTAAAATTTTTTTGTTTCCCCTACAGTTCAACCCTTCATTGCACTAAACTACAAATCTTGAAAGATAATTAAATGCAATGTCTGCAATTAAGGAGATATTGATTAATTGTAAAACAAATGATGAAAAGTTGTCCATACCTTGTACTCTTTCTGCCGCCCAGTACTTCCCTGCAGTCTCCAGAATCCAGGCTTCCTTCCTATCAGCTATCAGGAAACTGTTGTGATAGCTAAATGCCAAACCACCCTCTGAACAATTTCCACCCTGGCCATATTTTTCTAATAAATCAACAATGACATCAAGGGCTTTTTCAGCTGTATCAGCTCTTTCAAGGCCAAGTCTAAAATAAAAATATTAAAGTTCTTAGATTAAAAGTAAATTTCCATTATTTTGCTTAAATAATTTCATGCTCATGAGATTTTGTATTCACATTCAAAGTAAAAATTCCTTCAAGTTAGCAGATAAACAAACATCCAACTTCAAAACTCTTCCTCCTGAAGTCAGTTTGCAATTAAAAACAAAGATTTTGGAATCAAATACATCAGTGTTCAAATTCCACCTTGGTAACTTACTGGCAAGTTACATTATCTCTGACCCTCAGGTAGCCTCTTCCAATTAATGATATTTGAAAGTCTTTACATTGTATGTCAGTACTTTAATGTATTTTTCACATAAACTATAAAGTATCAAAGCCCCCAAAAATAGAAAAATAAAATAATATATATGAGTTACACCAAAATTTAAAATTTAGATGAGTTCTATAGTGCAAAAAATAATAATAGAAAAATGACCTGACAAGGTCCATGCCCAGTAGCGCCTCTTCATCAGAAACTTCTTCTCTTCCCCAAACAGCTTCATTCCCAATGCAAACTCCATGCTCATTGGCTCCCATTTCTGCTCCCCATAACCAAGCTGGGCGACTGAGAACAACAGCATATGTTTCAGGAACTTGATCAATTTCTATGTAAGTACACTGTAAAGAAAGTCATGGCAACAACCATAAAACCAAAAAATAAAAGTTGTCAAAGTCTGGAATCTTAAAAATCAATCAGAAAGCACAGTCATTATGAAAGAGATAAATGAATATGACTAAATTGATATTTTCAATAATAAAGTCATTACCCATAAAACATACTCAGAAATTGACCCTGAAGCATTTGTTCAAATATTTGCTGAGCATCTCCCATTAAAGCACTCTGGTAAGATATGAATCAGGTACAGATCTTTGTTTTAAGAAACTAAGACTTGTACATTAACTAAGATACAACAAACTATAAAGTGTAAGGGCCATGAAGAAAAATGAAGATGAGCTAATGGGAGCTCAGGAGAGAGATGGTTTCTAATTGTGAAACTTTGAAACATTTTGTAAAGGAAGATGTATGTGAGTTGAAGCTTAAGGAAGCAGTTCTCAATCTCAATGTCCAGCATTTCTTGGTTAGTGATGTAAGTTCCATATGATAGCCCTTAAGCACAGGGTAATGTCAGAGAAGCCCACCACCTGGTATGTCCACAGCAGTGAAAAGAATGAGAACCACCGGTTGCAGGATAGGCTGGACTTAAATATAAAGAGGCAAAACTGGAAAGGGACCTAAGATGAATAGTCACACCAAAGAAAAACTGGCCTCGTATACAGAAAACATCTAGTATTTAATGTATTTTAGCATTAGAATATCAATGAAATCTAAAAAATACGTTTGCAATTAAAGTACAATATAAAACTTTAAGTTCCATGTTAAATAGAATTTTAATTTAAAAATTTAAAGAATCCTTTTATTAATGTATATTCTACCAAATGACTACACAAAATTCACATTGGTGCTATCACTGTGCTCAATAAACATTTTATTCCCAGCTAATAAAACTGTAATTCCAGAAACTGGAATGACTTTTCCCATTCTATACCAATCAGAATCCTTATGGTCCATCAAACTCCAGCTGAAACCCCAAACTCCAGGTGAAGCCTTCCTTCATCTCTCCTCTGAATTAATTGTTCCTTCTCCCCTGTTGTTACAGCTTGCTGCCCTTAAATTTCACATTTAGACCATCACACTTTATAATGGGAATTGCTACATACACATAAATTCCTCTACTAAATTCTAAGCTAGACGCAGGTTTTAAATCTCTGCTCTATTTAACATGCTCACATATAGCAAGCATTCAAATATTGGATCAAAGAATTAACTATTATTATTATTGTTATTTTAGCTTCCTCCAAATCATAAAAGACTAGAGTCTATTTCTGATTTAAATTATTTTTCAAATTTAGATTCTTGAATTTCTAACTTCTATATCTGCCAAAGGGCTAGCTAGTGATAGAAAAAAAAAAGTTGATATTTTTAAAGAAGCATATTACTAACAAAATATGTATTCCACCCACCTTCAAAAGTCCTCTCGGGTCATTGTGAACTGCTGCAGGAAAATAAACTACCTCTTGTACTTCATCACAGAGTCTATCTGAATTTTTTCCAAAAATAATCCTATTTTCAACTGTTGCTGGAGGTAAGGCCACGAAAGTGTCACAGGAACAAGGTTCCATTTTTTTTTTTACACTGAAAATCATATAAAAGGTTCAAAATAAAGAGAAAAGCATTTTTAAGTATATAAAAACAAAAAGTTTACTTAATAATGAGGGATGTTATTACCATAGCTAATAAAAGCTGTTAGTTGAAGTTTTAAACTTCATGTACTATAGTATAAAAATAAGTAAGAAAATGACTTAGAAATGAATGTTGCAGTACAAGAATCAATAAGAAAATGACACTGAACCTAGCCAGGCAGCTCAGCTGATTAGAGCATCATCCTAAAACGCCAAAGTTGTCCGTCGGATCCTGTCAGGGCACATACAAGAATCAACCAATGAATGCATAAATAAGTGGAACAAATCGATCTCTCTCTCTCTACTTTTCCCTCCCTCCCTTCGTCTGTCTCTAAAATCAATTTAAAAATTAAAAAAAAGGAAATGGCAATGACAAGTACCTTTTCTAATCTATTTATAGATCAAATGTACCCGATAAGATCTTTTTCTCCTGAAGTCTTCCCTGAGTCACCTTTGACTATTTCCATATTTGGGAACCCCTGTACCTAGTTCTACTGTTGTCAAGATCATGTTTTACTATATTTATGTATATATATGTATCTCCTTACTGGACTGTGAGATCCTTGAGGGCTGAGACTATGTCTTATTAATCTTTGTATTTTCATCACTAGAACTTATAGAAAAGTCCCAGTATTGCGTACCCACTATTTCCTTAAAGGAGGAAAGGGTCTCCTTTGAGAAGGAGTCTCCTTTGAGCTGAAGAATATGCAGATTATAATACTGGTAAGACTGACACTTTGAAACAGACTCACTGAATCAAATACAAAAAGATGTCAATAAAATTTCAAATTTGCAGGCAAGATTTCATGTCCATAACTTGTAAACCCTGTTCGTAGAATTTAATATCAAGATTATGTGTTCAAGACTGACAGTGACCAGAGTGGAGAGGGGAGGGGGCTAATGGTGGAAAGAAGGGGAAGGGACTAGTCAAGGAACATGTATGAATGATCCACGGACATGGACAACAGGGTAGGCATTTCCTGTGTGCAGCGGGGGTGGGCCGAGGAGGACAAAGGGGGGGAAATGGGGACAACTGTAACAGAATAACAATAAAATATTTTTTAAATAAAAAGATTATGTGTTCATTTGTAATTCAGAAAAATCTTAAATCCTAAATTTTAGAACACTTAAGTGTCTCATACTTTTTATTGTGCTCCCAGAATGGACACATTATTTTATAGTTTCTTCCCTTTATTGTATAATGCCCAAAACTTAACATGGTTTTATGCAGCTATCTTAAAACAAAATTTAAATCTAATAAATCTTTCATTAAAAGGAAGACAAAATGATTCAAATAAGAAAGAACTTCAGCATGAAACTCCTGAGTTTTTCTCTTCTGTGATGGAAACAGAAAGGTCACAATTGCTTGTATTCTTTTTCTGTGTGTATTTCAACCTTTATTTCTTGGATTGCCTTCTATTTGTGTTCCAAAGCAAGTTATTTATTCTCTCTAGCTCCTGCCTCATTGGTAATTATCTCATAGGGCTGTTATGAGAATTTAGTAAGAGAATGTGTAAATCGTTTTGCACTACATAGAACATAGAAGACACTCAAATGAAAGCTATTCTTATCATTTGGCAGACGAATGAATTTCTTACAAAAGGCATCACAGACACGCCCACAACAGGAGTTGGCAGACGGATCTCCTACAGCAGCCCCGTCCACTCAAAACCCTGGAGTCTCAGGGCCATAAGCTGCACTAAGTTATCTCTCTAAAGGGTTGTAGGGGAAGCTAAGGAAACATGCAGCGTGGTTAGAAGGGCACCTAGCCCATTTCGGAGGGAAAGCCTTGAGAGCCTTTTCTAACACCTACTGTGCATTTATCATTCAACCAATGTTTATTGAACATCTTTCTGCACTAGGCACCGTACGGCCGGTAACAATACGGACAGCCCGCTCTTGTAGCGTTGACATTCTATTTTATTTGCTTTACCACCACTGCTTTCAGAAACATGTTCACAACGTGTTGAGAGAATTACGACTTTAATAACACGAATGAGAAAATCGGGGCAGAAAAGTTGATGTAACTCGAGTCTGAGTTCACAAGGTAAAGGGCTCGAACTTCAAACACTTCCTCTTGCAGAAGCGCCACTGCCCAGGCCGCACTCCGCACCCCATTCGGGGCGTTCAAACTCCAGCCCGCGTTCCTGTGATCCGGAACCCCGCCTAGCGGCCCCTCGGTGGGACCGCGCAGCACTTCCTGTTTTCCTACTTTCTACCTTAACTATGCACACCCCTCCCCTGTGCGCGCACCTCACCTGGCCTCAGAGCAACCCAAAGTGAAAAGGGGAAGAGGCGAACGTGGGCAGGTGTAGCTGTTAGTTTTCGGAAGCCGTTACCTTTGACCCGGAAGTCCTGACAGCCGCGGAAGGTGCAGTTCCGGTTAGGCGGCAGAGTTTGTTTACGTTGCTCTCAGATCTAGCGGCTGATTTCTGTATAAGTTTCTCCAAGATGGGGAAATCATTCGCCAATTTCATGTGCAAGAAGGACTTTCATCCCGCCTCCAAATCCAATATCAAAAAAGTGAGTAAGGGTAATGCGGGAGGGTGCTGGCCCGTTGGGTTCCTAAAGGGTGCTGGAAATGAGAGTTGGTGTTCTCTAGGATCCCTTCTCCAGGCCTGAAGCCCTCGTGTTCTCGCACTTTCTCCCCTGCTGAGAAACCTGTAGACAAACCTGGTCCTCGACGTTAATTCTGCATCAGCCCGGAAACAGGTAGCCCTGGTCTGCTCTGTCGGCTCCCTCAGCAAGATTCTAAGTCCGTAAGATCGGAAAACTGATAATAGGGATTCCCAACAACTTCCCTCGGTAGATTCTGCTTTAGCCTTTTCGAATCCCGGGGATCACTGCTTCGAAGAGCTGCTATTCTGTACAAAGAAAACTTTCTATTTACTTAGGATAAGGTAGATCTTAAAACGGAAATAAAATTACTCGCTTGCCTCCTCCTTTTATTCTACCCGATAATACAGCGCCTGTCTGATGACCTCTGAAGTTTGGCTTTTTAAGTAATCAGTTACATGTGTACTAGGTTGGGTAACGAAAAACTGCTCAATGCTGTAGAAGTGGAAAGCGGAAGTGGAATAGGAAGAATCTGAGCATTGGAGTCAGACCCGGATTCTAGTTATTTCAGCACAGTCACTTTTAGCCTTGATACCTTGCACAAAATAGTTAATATCCCTCACACCCATCTCCAAATCTACAAATTAAGGATAATCAGTATCAGTTGCCTTGACTGGTGAAATTGTTACGAGGATTAAATAAGATGGTTTAATAAATGGTTTTAAGCGATGGTTTAAGCAATCAGCTTCTGATTATTTTGGTCGCCTCAGGCTTACCATATTTCATAAGCTTACACAGGGCATTATGTTTGAAGCCCCCTAACTGTAATAATTTTTAACCTAAAATGAGTAACTTATTTTTTTTCAGTAGTAGTAAGTAGCATTTTAAAATAGCTTTAAAGAGGTAGTGATTAACATTGATTCTCTGGCATGCTGGTGAGGCATTCTGTGAGTTTTTCTACTTTTCCTGACTTTTAAAAAAGAAGTTGTGTCTTTGTACCTCAGTTATTTCAGGGTATCCCTTAAACAACAAAACAGGTCATACTTGCAGGGGTGTCCAGCCCGCAGCCTACAGGTTACATGCAGTCCATGATGGCTATGAATGCGGCCCAACACAAAATCGTAAATTTACTTAAAACATGAGATTTTTTGTTTGTTTTCGTTAGCATTTGTATATTTAATGTGTGGCCCAAGACAGCTCTTTTTCCAATGTGGCCCAGAGACACCAAAAGGTTGGACACCTCTGGTTAGGGTAAAGGCTTTAAAACAAGGTACCACCTAACACTGTGCCTACCACATAGGCGGGTGCTCAATAAAACGTTAGTTGCCCCTACACACGTACTCATTTTTAACTTGCTCCAGAAGTACAGGTGTTACCCAAGGTTTCATTCTTGGTCTATGTCTTGCTTAGTCTGTATGTTTTCCCAAGTAGTGATATCCAATTTCATAGTTTCATTATCCCCTCTTCACTCATGACTCTCAAAGCTACAGCCCCACGTCTCTCCATCTAGCTCGAGACCCCTCAAAAACAACTGTAAACTAGACAGTTTCATCCTAATATCCCACAGGCACCTGAAACTCAACATATCTGAAATCGAACTTCTCTTTCATCCAAAATCTGCTCTTACACTTACTGTCTCTTATGAATAGTATATATGCAGGGTCTGGCACAAATAACACAACTTTTTTATTACAATATCTTTTATTACAAAATCATAAGCATGTAATTCTGTAACATAGCAATATCACACTCAGGCATACCATATGACATTTTAGGTGAAATGTTCAAATTAAAACTATAAATTATTATACCTATGTTATACCTTACCAACCACCACTCAAGCAGGCATTACTTCTGCCAAACCCTGTAGGTAGTAATGTTGCAGGTTGGGAGAGAGAGACCCGAGTCAGGAGGCTCTCCTTCCTCTCTCTGTTCTTGACTCACTCACAAGACATGAATTCAAGTGAGAGACAAACATGTAGTGGAAGTGAGATTAGCAAGTTTATTTATGAAACACAGAAGAGCACAAAGCTGCAGGCAGGCACCCATAAAGTTGTTAGTAAGTTAATTCTATACACTTGAGCCAAGGCTACAAGTGGGTACTTAGCTAATCTAAGTATGCTGACTGTGGGGGTTCAGGGGTTATATACCTTAGCTGGCTTCTAGGTTCCTCCTCCTTCCCCACTTTGGGAATAATGTACAGCTACAAAGGCTTTCTTTCCCAGTTGGTAAAGGCTTTTTGTCTTAGTGAAATTGTTACAGAGGCCCTCTTTCCCAGCATAGGCCTCCCCTCTTCCTACTGTGTAATTCCTGCTCTTGCTGCTCAGAACACCCGGGAATTTTAGTAAGATTGTTAAGAAGCTTCTTTTCTCAACCCAGTCTCAGGGACTCTCCCCTTCTCCTGTGCTGTTTTGCTTGCCGTGCTCGGGACACCTGGCAGTCTTACCAAATGGACCTCAGGACTGCTGAGTTAACTGTTGAGACATGTTTTCCTTTTGCTTCTAGCGTCCTTTATTAAGTTCTTTGTTAGATTGTAATGGTGAGGGCCCTGCCTTTATCTCCCCTCTGGCTGCTCATTCCTAGCTACTATCTAACAGTAACAATCCTTCACTCAGTCACCCAAGCCAGAAACTCAAAATTCATCCCTTTCCCATTACCTGTTTATCTAGTCAGCTAATAAATTCAAGACCTCCCAAATATGTCTTAAGTACTTACCTCCTCTTTGCCACTATTGCCAATGTCTTAGCTTAGACCTTCACTATCTCACCTGGACTGTTAGGTTTTCTAAATGGGTTTTCTGCCACCCAGTCTTGACCCATCTCAAATCTGTTCTCTACATGGCCATCAGAATAACTATTTTATTTAGCAGCTTTACTGAGATATAATCTACATACCATAAAATCACCCATTTAAAGCACACAATTCAGTGGTTTTTAGTATATTTATGAATGTACGCAATCATTACCACAAACAATTTTAAAATATTTTCATCACCCCTCACCCCCAAACCCATATCTGGTAGCACTTCCTCCCCATTTGTCTTTAATCCTCTGTCCTATTCAGCCCCAGGCAACCACTAACCTGCTTTTGGTTTCTGTGGGTTTGCTGTTCTGGACATTTCATGTAAATCTTGAAATATGTGGTCTTTTGTGAAATATTGGCTTATTTTGCTTAGCATAATGTTTTAAAAGGTTATATATATTGTACAGCGTATCAGTACTGCAGTTCTTTTTATTGCTGAATATTCGATTATGTGGATATAGCACATTTTTTTTTGTCCATTCACCAGTCGATGAATATTTGGGTTGTTGACATAGAAACAACAAATATTGTTTCTATCAACAAAGAACAAATCTGATCTCTTCCCACTCCTAATTAAAATATTATAGGATTAAGTCCCAAGTAATCTGGCTCCAGGTTTTTTTTTCCTTCTTTATCCACTACTGCCATTCTGCCACCTCAGATTTTATATTCCAGTAATATCAAACTACTTAATTCTGGTTTTACACCTTTGGGCCTTTGACTGAGTTGTTGCCTCCGCTGGTAATATCTTACCTTATTTATTTCTTGGCAAAATTTTGATCCTCTTTAACATCCTCTTTAACTTGTCAGTTACTTGTGTACAGGGTTATTTATTGCAGCTGGGTTTTTAATAGCAAAAGATTGGAAATTTCTTAAATGTCCTTTAGTACAGCAAGAGATTGGTTAAATAAATGATGTTATAGCCCCACAACAGAATGATAGTCAGCTCTCTATCCCCTGCCCCAAATACAAAAAGGCTTTTTGTTTACTGATCTGGGAATGATCTCTGTGGTATAGAATTTTGTATATATTCTTTGCGTATATGTGTGTGTGCACACGCAACATATGTTACCATTATATGCAAAGAGAGGAGAATATATGTGTATGTATTACACGGGGTGGGGCAAAAGTAGGTTTACAGTTTGTATGGAAAATACAATAATAATAATACAAGAATAAACTCTGTTTCATGTACTCAAAACTGTAAGCCTACTCTTGCCCCACCCCATATATTCTTTTATGTATATGTGCATTACAACATCTTTGAAAGTATGTACATATACAAGAAATGGATAACATTGGCAACTGTGATTATCCAATAACTTTTTAAAACCCAAAGCTGTATTCTATCATACCTGCCTTCCTTCCTACTCCCTAAAGTTAATCACTGTCTTGCTTTATTTTGTTATGTTGTACATATTTCCACTATCCAAACATCAAACTTTATTGTTATTATTTATATAATTTGCATTTTATTACAAATAGCTTAAAATTACAGAAAAGTTTTTATGATTTTCTATTAGCAGATTTCTTAGCACTTTAAAGGCATTTTTATTCCAGTCAGTGATACTCAATATGTAGTTAAGCTCTTGAGCAGTTGAGACAAGTAAAATAACTTAAAATCTGAAGCGAACAGATGGTAGTTATTCTGTTAGAAGTAATATGTTATTCATTAGACTCTTATTAATATGTTATTCTGCCAAGCATTTCTCTGTTACAACAGTTTGTATTTTAAGCTACAGTGAAAATTCCAAACAGGTGTCTTTTATTGCCTATACCAAGTGTAGGGTTTTCTTCTACTATCACATTACATTGGTAAATATGAAGTCAGTGGAAGAAACTTTCGGGAACTTGCACCAAAATAAATTTCTGGTGTATTCTCTCCGTGGAAGGTTCTCTTTTCATTTCATTATTTGCTTTTATCTCCATATTAATCTTACTTGTTCACGTCTCAAACTGCCCCCATAGAAC